TATATATATATAAATTTTTTTATATTTTTTGGAGTTCTGTCAAAATCCTGATGCGATAAGAGTGAAATGCACACCGGATTCGGATTTAGCGACCCCAAAAACATGGAAAACATAGTATGATCCCTAGACACAATTTATTTTGTGTGTGGCTGTGTAATTTCCTTTCCTTTTATTTGGACCCCGGACCGTGTACGGACCATGGTCTATCAGCAACGTCCTGGCTTTGCGGCAATATACTAAGGGGGTAAGTGTGATTGGCACGAAAATATCCCCACGCCGTATTCTAGAGCTCTCACCCTGAGAAGTGAATTTTCTCATCGTCACACTGCAACATGTACTGGGACATTACAATGAAAACGCACACTATAACTTTGACTTATCGGGAATCGAAACAGGGGCCTTGTGTTATTAGGGAACGGAATTTATTATAATTAAAAAGCAAAATATGTACATATGTATTAATTTTTTACAAAAATATGAGTATGTTAAAAATTGAAAATATGTCAAATAAAAATGAATTGTATTTAAAATTGCTGTATACATGTATTTGCAGAGTAAAGATCGTTGTCAAACAGATTTTAACATGGATTCGGAGCGGCTGACAAAGAGTTTACAAACACCACCAAAAGTTTTATTTGAAATATAAAAAATGTTCGTTGTGTGCTCTGTGTTTACGAGGATAGTAAAACCGTGTAGCCAGTGATGGATCCCGGGAGAAGAGAAAAGTTAAATGAACCCCCCTCCCCAAATCTCATGACGTGGTAGGACATACATGACCTGTAACAAATATTTGTTAGCTTATGATCGAGTTACGAATTAGATATATGAAACAAACAAATTACTTCTGCCTTACAAACTTCTGCGTATCTTAGATTCCAAGAATCCGAGTGGAGGGTGGATAAGTTCGCAGGTCATAGAAACGTAGTTGCATTTCATTTCTTTCAAGAAAGATGACTCCAATAACATACATTGCAAACTGGTATCTGAAATGGTCTATTTCAAAAGTTTAAATATATGAAAATGTAAAGAAATATGTATGAAATATGTAGTTTGGGGTAAAGCATGTGAAATAAAAATGGTTCCATTTCATTCGAAATATCTTGTAAACAAAAAAAATTATTAAATGCAGGATCGTCTTCCTGTAAAAATATGTATTTACATGCAACTCTGTTCCCTATTTATAACACTTGCGTATCAGTTTCTTTCGGGTACACGCAGAACTCAGTGAGCGGGTGTAGTCAGCGGCGGACCCCGGAATAAATTGTGATACGATTAAAGAAAAAATGAATATATTTTATAACTAGTTCTACATGTGTTTAGAAAATGTGTTTCACTCATTTTATGACATTTTGTGTAAAACATTTTATCAGTTTTTGACATATGGCAAGGCCAGATATATTTTGAACATTTTCTGTACTTGCGACGCTTTTTGCAAGGTCAGTAAATGCGGACAGACATGGCCACGTTAGTTTTTGAGGATACGTTTCTACATCGACAGATCCTAAAATATTATTGTAATGGTAGTATTATCAAGCCTGGATGTACGAGAATGCCGGTGTTTCCACGAAGCTTTTGGGCGTGGTGATGATTTCGAAGTGTGTTGTAAACAAGTAAACATAGGCGTTGAAAGTCGAATCTATCGCTTAGAGTTCGAATAATGAAAGTCCTGAACACTGAAATGGTAACTGTTTACCTAAACAATGGAGGAGGAAAACTGCACTGGAGACCAACGTTTACCCTAATACTGGTATCATATACTAAATAAACACAGATACATTTATAATGAGAAAGAAACATACTTAACTTGGTATTCATGACAACAAAAACCAGGTCTGTATCTGTATCTATATCTATAATGTTGCTAGGCTTCTGCACTTTAACGCGAATTACGGATTTAAAGAAGCGGGTAATCGAAAATTTAACATCAGAAGAAACAGCGAGATCGATTAAAGATACTGTGCGTTTGTCAGTTAAAACTCTGCAAAACTTTTAAAATGCCTACACACGAAAAAGCGATGTAACGTCCCAAATGATGGGCTATTTTCTAGTACAAAAATCTATTTTGATTTTTGGATTTGTTTTTACATAAAAACTACGTGAAGTACTTCAAAAATATGAACATAAGGAACACAAAAATGATTTCAGTTTAATTTTAAATGAAATTATACAAACGACAAATACTAAATCATTAAATGAATGTTTCAACTTAAAGATTGACTTTAAAATAAATATTTTTATTCTTATTATATTTGTCTTTCAAATTTCCAAACAGATAGGCATATGTAAGACTAGTTAAGATGTCGCGAGAGCGATATCTCGTCTTCCATTTAATTTTAATAATAATAATAATAATAATAATAATAATAATAATAATAAAGTGTACTAGTTTAAATAAACATGATTCAAACTTACAACCCACTAAGTGAAGTTCTGGTGTAAGAAGAAATTGGTTTACCTCCAAGAGCGGCGAGAGTAGCCAACAGAGCGCAGAGACACCATTGGCCACACTTTCCTTGTTGGCCGCATGGCGGTGGCTCGCAAGGTGGGATTATCGGACAGGGTTTTGGTTTCGACCGACCGGTGCCTTTGTCGCAAGGTGGTCGCAAAGTCCTTGGTTTGTCTCGGCAAACTTCTCGGCAAGGGTCTTTCTTCCGCACGGGCTTCTGCTTTTGGTCGGGACAGCCCCCCGATCCCTGTAGCAATATCCATTACTTTCGTTCATATTGCTTGGAGTACATTTTGAAAACTAAAGATTCAAGGAAAAGAAATGAAGGGAGAAGGCAGGGGAAATTAAAAACTATAAAGATTTGAATATTATTGATAGAAATATACTTTGACATCTATTTATATGCTGATGCTCAATAGAGAGTTTATACTTCTCACAAGGAAGGGGAAGGAAAGATCGCAGGCGGTCCGCGGTCCGTGGTTCGTGGTTCGTTTGTTAGGATACTGCTTCGGCGTTCGGCTGGTGTTGATCAGAGAAATCACGGGAAACTACCTAGCTGACCAGCTGGTGTCGAAAATCCTGCCACCGTCGAGACTCGCACCTAGGTCATCCAGGTCAGAGGCACTGCCGTGACATCAGTTGATGCCCTTCGTTACCTCTTTCGGGCGGTGAAAATTGTAAAACACGATGTTATCAATTTAAACTTCTGGTAAGCTTTACTCTTCTTTACTCAGGAAGCTCTTTTAGAGCTGAGTCAATAATGGTGCTCTGAGATTGAATATTGAGAACAGTTACTTGTCTTTCCTATGCAATTATGAACAATTATTAATGCGATTATAAGACACATGCTGTGTTTTTTCAGTCATTAAATTGAACAGTAATAACGTGTAGATAAAATTCCAAGAAATTTTATTTCGGTGTTTGTTTTTAATACCAAATTTCGAATTTGTGTACTTTTAAAAATTTACCTTGCTTTTGCTTGCTTTCGAACGATACGCAGCTGCCAAACACGGTGTACACGTATATATGTCTCGGTTAGGAGGAATCCACATAGCTGCGATGGACGACACCGGCGGGCCAGGGGCCAGCCGCCGCCATATCAGCGGCAGCTGCGACGGCACCCGACGCAGCATGGCGGCGACGGGCGCCGACGCGGGCGCGACGCGGCTGGACGTGCGCGCGAATGAACAGCCGGCCGGGTCAGGCGGGCTGTCGGAATGCGCTCGGCGCCTAACTGTTGCACCGCGACGCCACGCCCATTGTCGCAATAGCGTCGACAGTTTCTTGTGTTCTTTGAATGAATTAACCATGAGTGTATAATGGTTTTAATAAAAGTCAAGTCGTGAAACGAGAACTGTTGATAAGGGGGTAGAGGCGTTAAAATCTTTTGTTAATCTAGGATAGTGCAAGCAAAAAGTGTTTTGTGTGTTCTTCACAGTGACACAGCCCACCTGCTCTCTCTTTCTTTCAACACTTTCGATTCGCATTGATATGGGAACATTTCATAAAAATTTGGAAGTGTCTAGCTCGTTTAAGTACTGCCCTCTTCCGTAATTTCATTGGCTTAGCCATGTCATCAGTTAATACTTATCGTTTGTTTCAAGCAATATTAATGAGATCATCTTGCTTTCGAAGGAACTTCTGTGTAATAATACATGCTCAGTTTATGTTCATGAGCACCAGAGCATTTATTCGCTTGCTTGGTTGTTCATAACAGTTAAAATATCATAAAAATTCGAAAAATGTCATTTTACGTGGATATCTGTTAAAGAACACCACTGACTAAAAATAAAGATAAGCGTGATTTTATCACCGATAAATGCATAAAAATAAACTAATAACACTCAAAACAAGACTTTATCACTCTCCAGTGATAAATGCCGCATCTGCCAGAAACAAGTAGATCCCTTTGATCATATCTTCTCAGCTTGTCAAATTCTAGCGCAGACCGAATACTTGAAAAGATACGAAAAGTGAGTAGTTATCTCCACTGACATATCTGTACCGCGCTCGAAGTTCCAAACACATGTTTCCAAAGGGACAAACACTCACCAAAACCGGTGTCATCTGTTGTTGGACTGAGTACCACTCTGTACGACTAACAAGTTCAAACTGATTGTTCAATTTGATTGCGAGAATCGGCAAGCAAATCGGATATTGTTATCCGGGATTTGAAGAGAAAATTGTATGTACTTGTAGATGTGCCGTGCAATCAAACGTCGTAGCAAAGCAAACAGAGAAACGTTTTAAAAACAAGGGTTTGAAAATCAAAACCAGCCGAGTGTGGGCCGTAAAAGCACTGATTGTCCCCGCAGATATTGGAGCTCTGGGAATTTGATCCGCAAAATTTGTATAAGAACTTGGGTTAAATTGTCTAAACTAAAATAGTCACTCCTGATTTTCCTTGGAATTCGTGTTTGTGGTTAGCCGTATTATGAAGTTTTGTAAACAGAGCCGTATCCCAAATACTTTTTTTTGTTAGGCATTAGAGAAATACCCGGCGTTGCTAGGACTTTCTTCATATCGAATCATTGTGAAAGAGGAAAAAGTTAAATAATATGTAAACCACAGTGTTTATGATTATTAAGCGCCACGCAATCCTTTTCTTGGCTAGTTTAGAGATGCATCCGCATACGTATAGCCATCCTGATGGCGAAAAAGTAAAACTATTGATAGTTGACATCAACGCCATCTGGAATTAACGCCCGCTCCCGTAAGTCAATGTCGTTTTGTTTTCCAAAGGGCGTTTATGAAGTACTCGGCATTGTTTGTGAAGTTGCATTTTAAATAACTAGTTTTGCATTTAAAAGTATTTCGTAATTTCTTGATTTTTTTTTCCTGATCTGAGGCCCACACTCTTCGAAATGAAATATCAGCCTACAGAAATAGCATTTGCTTCACCTCTAGCAAAAATATGTGTGTGGAAATTAAATATGGATTTAGAAGAAATGAATGCCAAGCAATATGTTTTCGTATTTAAGAAAGTTATGGAGTTGTATCATTGTGAAAATGCAAAAACCTGTGTGGGAACCTAGATGAAGATATAAAAACGTTTATAGCTTTGAAAATAATCAAAATAACTTCAAACTTGTATGTGTGTTCTGCCAGTTTAATGAATACCTGTCACAGTGTAAAGCCGTTTCAATGAGGGAATTTGGAAAATGGATTGTCTACTAAAATATTACTACTCAGCTATTACA